AATTTGTATATATATATCTATGTATATAAAAATAAATAAAAATAATAAGAAATATACATACGTCCATATACAAAATTACATAAATAATTATATAAATATACATGTAGACTTCAAATATATAAATATGCATATATATTTAAATTCTACGTGCGTATTTATGCAATATTTTTACATAATTCAGTAATTTTATTGATTGCAATTTGAGGGATCTGCCTGCCAACCCAGGCCGAAATTCCAGAGAATTTAATTTGCTAGCACTGTATTTTACCCTGTAACGTTCTACGACACCCTAAAACCTGTACATGGGGGGTACTGTTTTACTCGGGAGACTTCGCTGAATACAAATATTAGTGATTCAAAACAGTAAAACATATCACAGTGATGATATTGTCAGTGAAAGTTACGTTTTTTGCATTTTTCACACACAAACAGCACTTTTACTGATGATATAATTGTTGTGATACGTTTTCCAGTTTTTAAACACTAATATTTGTGTTCAGCGATGTCTCCCGAGTAAAACAGTACCCCCCATGTACAGGTTTTATAGCATTTTTGAAAGTTACAAGGTCAAATATATGGGTCAAATATTTTTACATTGAAAATGGCCAGGTTGGTTACGTTGCCTTTGAGAGCGTATGGTAGCCCAGGAATGAGAATTACCCCATGATGGCATACCATTTGCAAAAGAAGACAACCCAAGGTATTGCAAATGGGGTATGTCCAGTCTTTTTTTAGTAACCACTTGGTCACAAACACTGGCCAAAATTAGCGTTCAATTTAGTTTTTTTACTTTTTTCACACACAAACAAATATGAATGCTTAATTTGGCCAGTGTTTTCGACTAAGTGGCTACTAAAAAAGACTGGACATACCCCATATTGAATACCCTGGGTTGTCTACTTTAAAAAAAATATGTACATGTGGGGTGTTATTCAGAGATTTATGACAGATAATAGTGTTACAATGTCACTATTGATAAATTTTAAAAATGTATGTTTTGAAACCGCAATATCCTACTTGTACCTATAGCCCCATAACATGCAAAAAAAAGCAAAAAAGCACGTAAACACTAGGTATTTTTAAACTCAGGACAAAATTTTGAATCTATTTAGCAGTTTTTTTCATTCGCTTTTGTAGATGAGTAAAAGATTTTTCAAGTAAAAGTCAAAAAACATGTATTTCTTTAAATTTTTCATCAGATTTTTGTATTTTTTTTAAATTAAAATACATGAGATTATATAAATAATGGTATGTAAAGAAAGCCCCTTTTGTCCTGAAAAAAACAATATATAATTTTGTATGGGAACAGTAAATGAGAAAGCGGAAAATTCCAGCCAAACACAAACACCACAAAAGTGTAAAAATATGCCTGGTCGCAAATGTACAACATCGCAAAAACAGTCCAGTCCTTAAGGGGTTAATAAAAGGGAATCATGACGGAATATTTCCGTCATGTGTCCTTAAGGGGTTAAAAAAATATTGCAAGGGGCTGATACCTTTGATAGCATTTGTCTATTCATATTGTAACTCATTCCAGTGAGTCATATTGGCAATTAGATTGTTAAGCAAAAACAACCCATAATTTCACATGGTACAATGTATAAAGCTGTGTTATCTGGATGTGTAAGACGCTTGTGTTGCATATAAATTTCAAATTTAGGGATAACATTCTGCCACGGGGGTATAATAATTTGGAGATCTTGATTAAAAACTAATGTTTCCAGATTTGGCCAAATGTAATTTTCACCCAAGGATGGCTAAACCATCATTATATGTACAATACCCATTGACAATCAAAACATGTATTTCTCACATATTAACCAATAGAAATAATGATTAACTTGAGTTCTTGCTATGTATGGTAGAGTAGGCACTGAATTAATTCTCAAAAGGTTGAGATACTGAAATCTGTTCAGAGAAAGTAGCAGTAAAGACTACACATAGGTAAAATAATTCACAGATTTTAAGGTTTATTTAACTTTGTAGAATAGCACGTGTGTGATGGGGCTCTCGAGGCATCAGATATACTTCTTGGTTTATTTGAAGAGACTTGTACACAAGATAGAACCAAGAGAAGAATGACAAGCAGGTCCTCCAAATATCCACTTTGTATAATTATAGAATGTGTTGGCGCTACATAGATGCTAATAATGATAATAATAATATCACCATTATAAAACACAGTAAATTCGCCCTGTAAGAGTATGGGCAATTTTATCGCATTTATCTCAGTAGGTTGTTAAAATAAATGCACAAAAAAATAGGATTAGACTAAAGATATGATTTTAATATTTAGCTTTATCATTTTAAAGAGATGTAATTTGTAGCTCAGTGAATTGTGCCAGTAGTTGAAAAGCCCCAGGAGGTTTGATGGTAAAATTAAGCAAGAATCTGTTTGATGAAACAGCTATATAATTTACAATTCTATTTACCTGAATTGATCTGTGTTACAAATGGCTATACCACTACAGATTGTGAACACAAAGTACAAACTGACCTCAAATACCCTCTATTCTATATAAAGCTTTTATGCTCTCGAGATCATTCAGCAGTGTTTGAATTAAAAATTTTGACTGACTGATTGTTAAAATTATTTTCTATTTTAAGCTTTCTGTGTACCCTTTATTATTAAAACAAGAAAAATTGACATTTATAAATCATTTAATGAGTATTATAGTCTGTCTATGAACATAGCAATATGTTATTATAATAAAAGAGCTGCAGAACAGCACACATTTAGTCATTTAGCATGTTTAACAATGCGACAACAGTGACTTTATTTTTTTACTCAAGACAGTTTACAAAACTATATATAATCTACACAGATTTATTGAGTAAAATGTTAAACTCATTATGTGCTTGGATACACAAAAAATAAATCCTGACAATATTAGTACAAAAAGGAAAATTCATTGTGTGCAATAAAAATGACATAGTTACCATGGTATTTTTAAAGAAAGTTCATTGAAGGTGTTATGGAGCAGGAGTATGTGGGTGCCATCTTACCTTTAGGGATTTATATCTTCAACCGCAGTATAAAGTATAATTAGCTAGGATAGGCTTAGAGTGTCAGCTGATCTTCTTTTAGAGGACAACTAAGGCAAGATTTTCCATTAGGCAGAGAACATGCAGTTTTTGTCCACATGACGGCCCAATGCTCTATTTAGTTAGTAAGACACTATAATACATATAGTATATGTCTGTATTCCTAATGCTATAGTGTTCCTGTAAGATCACAATCCTTATTTAACCCCACATTTATAACAAGTCCAGTAGAAGGTACTTTCCATTAGGCAGAGAAGGCGACTACCGACACGTGCATGTCTTGTAGGGGCGCCAGTCATCATCACTTATAATGTAAACAATAAAAAGATATAGATATATATTTCAAATACAGAGTTATTACCGTTGCAAATTGTACTCTCGTGTGGTTTGTCTTTTGTTCCCAGCGCCAACTTTAATTTGTTCATTACTGTATTTGCTATCAACAAATTCATCATTTGAATTATATCACAAAAATGTATAGTAAAAAAGATTTTTTTGACACACCAACATTCAGTATCTCTGCATGGAGATGCTGAAGACTCCCTAGAGATGTATTGATGTATTCATTGATGATTGATTCATTACACCTCAGCCAGGGAGGTGTGGAAGCCATGGCAAGAACAGCATGCCAAGGCATAAAATAAGTAAACATGCAGTTTTTGTTCACATGAAGGCCCAATGCTCTATTTAGTTAGTAAGACACTATAATACATATAGTATATGTTTGTATTCCTAATGCTATAGTGTTCCTGTAAGATCACAATCCTTATTTAACCCCACATTTATAACAAGTCCAGTAGAAGGCACTTTCCAAAACATAGTAGAAAGGTACTTTCTATCTGAGTTAAAGGAAATTAAGTCAAGTAAAAGGCACAAAAATATTAAATCCAAGCATACAATAAAAGAAATATAGGCTTTGCATAATTTACATAGAGATAGTTTGGTCATCAAGCAGTCTGGAGGAAATATTGTAGTCATGTATACAAGCAAATATAAGTCTGAAGCTCCAAAACTAGAGTTGAGCGGACACCTTGATGTTTGGGTCCGGCGGGTTCGGCCGAACTTTGAAAAAAAGTCTGGGTTCGTGATCGAACTTGACCCTGAACCCAAACCCCATTGGGGGACCTGAACTTTTGGCCACAAAAATGACTCTAAAAAAGTTCTGGAAAGGGCTAGAGGGCTGCAAAATAAAGTAAAATGGGGTAAGAGTAGGACAAGTGCCCTGCAAACAATTGTGGATAGGGAAATCATTTAAAATAATCAAAAAATTAGCACTAGATGGAATCTTTGATTTTAGCTTTGGAAGAACATAAATCAAAATCTAAAGCATGGCTGTCAGGAGGATCACCAGAATTATCCATTTGAGAGATGGTTGGACTGCAGGGTATTCTCTTTCATTGTTCAAACTGAGCTCAACTCCTGATGCATGGAGAAAAGGCCTTCACAAGCCTCTGCTATTGTGTACATAATTTATACTAAGTGACCCATAGGTTGAGGAGGCGGTGACCGTGGCAGTGTAGGTGGAAGCGTCGGTGGAGGAGGAGGAGGTAGCCAACACTGTTTATATATATATATATATATATATATATATATATATATCTCTATCTATCTATCTATATCTATTTTTTATTTTAATTGGGGTAGCCCCCAAAATATTGGGACATATAAAAAAAAGAAAAAACTGTTGCGCAGAGTGACTGACCCATGCGTGCTGCATCTGAAACTCCACTATCTTCTGCTGCTGCTCGCACAGTCTCATGATGCGGTGAGCGGGAAGGACAAAGTTACGCTGCAGCGCAGACAAGCGAGCAGCAGCAGCAGGGTGAGAATGACAAAAGTGCGCACAGACGGACCGGACTTTCTGCAGCAGCTCTGATATATCTGGGTATACACCGTGCCATCACAAGGGCAACCCAGAACTGGCTCAAAGCCATCAAGCCAATTTCCCGGAGGAGATCACCAAGCTCGTCATGCTAGAGCATTTTCAATGTGCTCCCCAACGAGAAGGCGACGACGCATTTATATGTCAATCCATATCAACTTTCGATGCCATTGACTGCGCCTACCATGGTGACCATGGGTAATGGGGAATCAGGGTTCGATTCCATACAGGGACCCTGACAAATGGCTACCACATGCAAGGAAGGCAGCAGGCATGCAAATGACCCGCTCCCGACGCGGGAAGGTAATGACGACAAATAACAATACAGGACTCTTTAGAGGCCCTGTAATTGTAATGAGTCCACTTGAAATCCTTTAACTCTGATCAATTGGAGGGAAGTCTGGTGCAGACCCACTGTCCCTGCAGCTGAAACTCCACTATCGCCTGCTGCTGCTCAAAGAGTCTCTCCAGCATGTGCAAGGTAGCTGCAGAACAGCTGGCCTCATATGCGACCTTGTGGGCACGTCGCATATGAGGCAGTGAGCGGGAAGGCCAAAGTTATGCTGCAGCGTAGACAGGTGAGCAGCAGCAGGGTGAGAACGCCGAAAATGCGCACAGCCGCTACAGTGAATATCACATCCTGTTCCAAGTTGCAGATCAGTCTGGTGATGGCTTCTGGTATCCAGTACTCTTTTTACTGAAGCTGCATCAGGGTCCTGGTATGTGCCTGCACAAACGCTGGTGCTCAACACCAGGGGGCATGCGGTTACCCTGCACCAGACCCTGCTAATCCATTCCACACTGTGACTCGTAACTTCTACATCAGGCATACTGGGTCCCGGTGGTCCGACCGCCGCCCATACAGTGTCTGGGTCCTGGTCACCGGACTGTGAAACAGCGAATGGCTAGTTCAATCTGTTATGGTTCTTTTTATCGCTTCAACTGTTACTTGGATGACTGTGGGAATTCTAACGATAATACATGCTGACGAGCGCTAGGGGACAGCCGCTCCGCTTTTGCACCCTGCTCCCTCTTATGCTGTGCTGGTGCCTCTGTGCGACCAGAACCCCTTCCTCAAAACCACAAACGTCACTCGCATGACCTTGATTCTATGTGGGGTCTAGGACCTCATCATCTTCCACATCATCTTCCACCCACTCCTCAACCCTGCCCTCCTTGCCTGTATGCACACTGCAGAAATCCACAGCAGTTGGCACCTGTGTTTTTCCAGCATGTAAAGTCTGCAAAGGACATATGGAAATTGTTTTAGAATTGTATCCAGGCAACAGTTTTCCCTATAAACTGACCTCTCAGTTTGACTTGTGAGGGTATTGACCCAGAATTACAATATTGTTTAACTACCTCTTAGCTATTGATAACTGGTTTAAATATAGCAACTTGTTATCTGGTAGTTTCTAGTGTAGAAAATATCAGTCTGTTTTCTATCAATTAGATCTGTGTAACAAGTGTTGTAGGTGTGAAACAATATTACAAGTGACCGATGTAGTAAATTCAAATCAAAGTTCCATTTGCAAAATAAATTCTCGCCCATCTTCTGTGGGTTATTGCATTTTTAAGATGTAGACTTATTGTATCACACTTGCCATGCCGAGGTAGATTGTCTGGCACGTTGTTTTGGTGTTTGGTTTTTAACTTTGTAGTTGTGTCTTTACACAATATAGAAATGTATATTAATGCTTCTGTATATGAAGCGATCACAATAACACTTATTTTTCACTTTAAAAAAAATCAGGCTAAACAAACATTGGTAATTAACAATATGACATCTGAAAAGCACATGAAAGGATCAGGGCCGGACTGGCCCACCGGGATACCGGGAAATTTCTCGGTGAGCCGTCGGCACCTGGGGCCAGGCAGACACCTGGGTCTGCTGGCGGCCGCTGGGGAGGTCTTCTGTGGGCCGCTGGGGGACTTTTCAAGCTAGGGAGGTCTTCTGGCGGCCGCTGGGGGAGCTGTGCTGGCTCTGCTCCCCAGCGCGCAGCTGAATGAGACCGTCGCCGGAATATGACGTCATATTCCGGCGCCGGTCTCATTCGGCAGCGCGTGAGGGTGGGAGAGCAGAGCCAGCGCAGCTCCCCCCAGCGGCCGCCAGAAGACCTCCCCAGCTGTAAAAGTCCCCCAGCGGCCCACAGAAGACCTCCCCAGCGGCCCACAGAAGACCTCCCCCTGGCAGGTATTAGTCTGTCTGTCTGTGTTATCATGTATGTCTGTCTGTATGGTGTGTGTGTGTGTGTGTGTCTGTGTTATCATGTCTGTATGGTGTGTCTGTCTGTGTCATGGTGTCTGTCTGTATGGTGTGTGTGTGTGTCTGTCTGTGTTATCATGTCTGTCTGTCTGTATGGTGTGTGTGTGTGTCTGTCTGTTATCATGTCTGTCTGTATGGTGTGTGTTTGTGTGTCTGTCTGTGTTATCATGTCTGTCTGTATGGTGTCTGTCTGTCTGTATGGTGTGTGTGTCTGTCTGTGTCATGGTGTCTGTCTGTATGGTGTGTGTCTGTCCGTCATGGTGTGTGTGTGTGTGTGTGTCTGTCCGTCATGGTGTGTGTGTGTGTCTGTCCGGGTGTGTGTGTGTGTGTGTGGTGTGTGTGTCTGTCCGTCATGGTGTGTGTGTGTGTCTGTCCCCGTCCTTGGTGTGTGTGTGTGTGTGTGTGTGGTGTGTGTGTGTGTGTGTGTCTCTGTCCGTCATGGTGTGTGTGTGTGTGTCTCTGTCAGTCATGGGGTGTGTGTGTCTCTGTCCGTCGAGGTGTGTGTGTGTCTGTCTGTCCGTCATGGGGTGTGTGTGTCTGTCTGTCCGTCATGGGGTGTGTGTGTCTGTCTGTCCGTCATGGGGTGTGTGTCTGTCTGTCCGTCATGGTGTGTGTCTGTCTGTGTCATGGTCTGTCATGGTGTGTGTATCTGTCATGGTATATGTGTGTTTCTGTGTCTGTCATGGTGTAAATGAGTGTTTAAAAATAGTGTTTTTGCTCACCTTTTTTTTTCCCCCCACACAGCGTGCTGGTCTCCCCTCGACTGGTCTCCCCTCTATAGCTGAGATCATCAAGCTTGATGACCTCAGCCAATCCAATGCTTTGCCATAGGATTGGCTGCAAAACGCCACTCCAATCAGCATCTCCTCATAGAAATGCATTGAATCAATGTATCTCGATGGGGAACGTTCAGCACCTACAGAGTGTGGAGGCCCTGAATGTAGGTGCACTAACACAGGAAGCACCTCTAGTGACCGTCTGAGTGACTGTCACTAGCAGTGTCACTTTGAAGCAATGTAAACACTGCCTTTTGTCTGAAAAGTCAGTGTTTACGTTGAAAAGCCTGTAGGGACATGCTATAGACACCAGTACCACCACATTAAGCTGCGTGTGTGCGTCTGCTAGTGAGTGAGCTTGCTTGCATGCGTGTGCCTGCTAGTGAGTGAGCTTGTGTTTTTATGTCAATGAGCTGATGTATATCAGTAAGATTGTTTCTGTGAGGCTGTGTATCAATGAGCTTGTGTGTATCATTGAAATGTCAGTGAAATTGCCTGTGTCTGCATGTGAGTATGCTTACTGTATAATTAAACGTTTTACCCTGAAAGGACCAATATTTTATATTAGAAAAAGCAATATATATATATATATATATATATTACTCCATCATCTGTCCTGGCAAGACATAGCCTTACATATTACACGCGACAATATATGGCGCAGTGACTTATGGGGCTGGCACAATTTTCCAGGGCTGCTTTGTATCCCCAGTCCGGCCCTGAAAAGGATGCTGTATGATTTTTTTTTTTTAAATAACACACTACATGAAGGTCCTGTTCACTAGAGTGTGTAGTCATGAATGTAACCAGTAAAACTTTGTTTTTACAGCCACTGGTTGGCCCATACATATTTTAAAACTTGTTTAATTTTGTTGTAGCATGACTTGTAGATATGAAGAGCAGGCCCCAAAATGTACTATTTAGCAGATTACCACCCAGAAAATTTAAATTTTTACAAGTACACTTTAAGCACACTAATAGACGCTTCTATTTGACTCTCAGATATGAAGGGCACCCCACTAAAATACTATTTAGCAGTTTAGCACCCAAAAAAAAAGTTTTAAAACTGCAATGTGACAGCAGTATTTGATGCTTTTATTTGACTCTCACATTTTGTGGCCTGCTCTTCATATCTGAGAGTCAAATAGAAGCGTCTAATAGTGCGGCTACAGCTCAATTGTAAACATTCTAATTGTTTTGGTGCTAAACTGCTAAATAATACATTTGCGGACTGCACTTCATATCTGAGAGTCATATCTGCTAAATAAAAGCATATCTGAGAGTCAAATAAAAGTGTCTAATACTGCGGTTACAGCGTAATTGTAAACATTCTAATTGTTTTGGTGCTAAATAGTAAATTTGCGGACTGCACTTCATATCTGAGAGTTTAATACTGCGGTTACAGCGCACTTGTAAACATTCTAATTGTTTTGGTGCTAAACTGCTAAATAGTAAATTTTGTGGCCTGCTCTTCATATCTGAGAGTCAAATCTAAGGGTCTAATAGTGTGCTTACAGCGCAGTGGTAAACATTCTTATTTTCTGGGTGTTAATCTGCTAAATAGTACATTTTGTGGCCTGCTCTTCATATCTGAGAGCCAAATAGACGCGTCTAATACTGCGGTTACAGCTCAATTGTAAACATTCTAATTGTTTTGGTGCTAAACTGCTAAATAATACATTTGCAGACTGCACTTCATATCTGAGAATGTTTACCACTGCGCTGTAAGCACACTCTTAGATGCTTCTATTTGACTCTCAAATATGAAGTGCAGTCTGCAAATGTACTATTTAGCAGATAAGCACCCAGAAAATTAGAATTTTTACAACTGTGCTGTAAGCACAATATTAGACGCTTCGATTTGGCTCTCAGATATGAAGTGCACCCCACTAAAATACCATCTAGCAGTTTAGCACCCAAATAATTTTAAGTTTTAAAACTGCAATATGACGGCAGTATTTGACGATTCTATTTGACTCTCAGATATGAAGTGCACCCCACTAATGTACTATTCCAATAATGTACTATTTAGCACCAAAAAAAATTACTTTTTAAAACTCTGATGTAACCGGAGTATTTGAAGCTTCTTTTTGACTCTCAGATATGAAGTGCACTCCACCCCACTAATGTTCTAGTTTGCAGAATTCTTTCCTAAGCTGTCCCTGTCAGCCGCAGCATCCTCTCCCTACACTAATAAGACCGCATGTGCGTGCGACGCTACGCGACTCCAGCTTCTATATATATATATATATATATATATATATATATATATAGGTTTGGTCACATGCTGCACTGGCCAATCACAGCAATGCCATTAGTAGGCATGGCTGTGATGGCTTCTAAGGGCACACAAGTCAAACACTTGTTGTTTGGCTGCCCTGCAGCCTTTCAAAACGC